CAGGCAAATAAACGAAAACTAACTACATTTCCATAGCATTTTGAAACAGATAATAAGTAAATTAGTAGGTAATAACGTTCTACCACCATAAAATGAAAACAGTTTTTTATTTTATTAATTTGCTCCATTTTCTCTACTGTTTGTTATTTTGCTTCACATTTTATTATTAGGTATTTTAAAATTTTTATTCATTTTTCAAGTCATGTCCGAAGCATTTTGAAGCAGATATTAAATAAATTTCGGTTTGTTATTACCACAGCTACACAACATTTTTGACGTTTCTATAAAAATTTAGAAAAAAATTAATATACTATAAATTTTTTTATTGTCAGAAATTCCTACTGTTTTATGAAACAAAAATAAATATTTTACAAATTATTTTTTAATTTTCGTTCCGAAAATTAATAAATTCGCAGCGAAACAAACGAAAAATGTTACATGTCCACAACATTTTGAAACAGATAATAAGTATGTTATTGGCATTTTAACACAACCACATGAATTTTTATAGTGTTTCTATGGTAATTAATTAAAAACAACCGCCAAACACAAAGCGTTCTAGAAAAAACAATTGGCATTTAAAACGTCATTAAGTGACATTTTTTATTTATTGTTAAAAATATTTTTTTCTCTTTCTAGTGACTTACCTTAAAGCCTCAGTTTGTTTATTTTGAAAATCAAACATCTTAATCTTGGTATTGTAAAAATTTTGGAGATTCATTTTGAACGTCTTATTCAGTTTGACAGAGTGGTCAATAAAGAGCGCACTTTTCTGCTTGAGCGTAAAATGTTTTTTTGTGTCGTTTGCCGCCTCCAGCTTCTTGACCAAGCTCGCGAGCTGTAAATGCAGCGTAGAATAGGGCAACTGGAACGTGACATTCTTCTTCTTTTCGTAGTAATTTTCGTTTTCGTAGAGGTGACCCTTGGGCAAGGCCAATAACTCGACTAATTGCTTCCGGAATTCGCCTTCGGCTCCAAGAATCAACTGTCCGAGAATAACAGTCGCACTAATCGGACTGACGAGGAAATTCTCCCTTTCCTCCCCCTCGAGGAAGGCCTGGAGGCGAATCCCGACGCCGAAGACCGCCTCCAGGGCCAGTTTGTACTGCTCGACGAGGGCCTCGTTGGCGGCGGGCAGCGGGGGCGGCGGCCCCGGCTCCTGGCCGCTGACGTAAGCGCAAAACAGGAGAATCACGTGCACTCGCATCACTTATCGCAAGGTGAACAGGTCGCCGATACGTTGAACACTAATGCGACACCGAGAGATTTTTCGATTTTGTGCGGTTGGCTATAGTGGGGAAAACCTGATGATGGGAAAACCGGCGAGAGTGACCTTTGCTTATCACCGGGGGACGGTTATCGCGAAAACAATGAGCGAAGATGAATGCGAGCAGGACGTGGGACTTTAAAGACGGGTTTGGGACCTCCTTGGGGGCAGGTGAGCATTTTGAGACACTTTAACCGGGGGAGAAAAATTCAATTTTTGTTTTTGAAGAGATCAGAGGGAACGAATGGGCCCCTTTGATACTGATTCCGCTCCTGGCGGCTATCATGCTAGTCGCCAGTGTCCTCCTCTTGATCATCTTCAGACAGCACCCAACTCTTGTGATAACCACCGTCGCCGGGTGTCTTCTCATCGTCACCATTTACCTCACTTTCACCACTGTGGGCAATGTAAGCGAAACGTACGAATAAAAACAAATAAATAGTATATTACACACCGACGTGGAAAGTATTTTTCATTTCTGTCGAGAGAATAGAAAGTTGACAAGTTACAGAAATTGAGATTCTTTCGAGACACCAATCGCACTTTGGAGAAAAACAACACCGCTCTTTGCACAATAGTATACTAAAAAACAAGTGGTACAAACACCCTCATTGTGATACGAGCCATGCACGAGTATCACAATGATTGAATAATTTTTATATTTGACAGTTTAAATTATGACATTTGACGTATACGGTACCCAAATTGCTCGAAAATAGCTTAAAAATGTTTACTTTCGTTTTTCTATCGTTTTCGTTTGATTTTCTTGAAGTGTGTGAGCCATATTTACGCAAAATGTCAAAAGTGTCAGATTGGATGATTGATAAATTGATAATCCAACGCACTCTTAGTAATGTTTTTTTTTAATTACCATTTTCATGGACTTTTAGGACTTTTGACTTTTTTTAGGGTCACGCAAAATTGCCCCCCTTGGCCCCGTGCAAAAACAATTACTATCGCGCGACAAAGATTTTTAAATTAACTTTTTACACAGTGTGAGAGCCTTTTTGTAAGGTATACCGAGAAATGTCAATAACTGTCAAATTGAATGAGTAAAAATTCAACGCACTTTTGGTCAAGTTCTTTTAAACATTAATTTAGGAATTTTTAGCCCTTTTTACCTATAGAAATCATCCTACTTTGTAAAATTATGATTAAATTTTTGTTTTTTACCGTCATTTAATTTTTCACTTACTAAAGTTATTGAAAATATTGCATTTTGGACCAATTTTGCATTTTTTTGTATTGCTTTAAGAAAAATTTTTGAAGTGTATTTAAGGATAAAACACTATAAATTTATCAAAATAAGCACAAATATTGCATTTCACTACTAATTTTGTATTTTTTGTCTTGTCGCAAAATCTTTTTAATTTATTTAGTTTCTTGAAAAAAAAATCTTTAAACTTAATTAAATAAGTACAAATAAAGCCTTTTAGACTTAATTTCGCAATTGTCTACTTTATTTAGATAAAATCTCTACAATTTATTAAGTTTTTCAGGAAAACTGTTTTAAATTAGTCAAAATAATTGAAAATAGTGAATTTCAGAATTCTCCACTTAGTTTTGGTATTATCTCATGAATTTTGGGAATTTTGCGGTAAAAATGCTCTTAAATTTACAAAAAATAAATAAAGCATTTTAAACCAACTTTTGCAGTTTTTATTAACTTTTTTTAACGAAATCTCCCGAATTTTGTAATAAAAAAGCGATGGTTATTTTCCCAAAGAAGAAACAACTAAACTTCAAAAATAAATAACAAAAAATTTCATTTTGGCACATTTTTTCAAATGTGTTTGGTTTTGCAGTGAAATAAATTAACGAAATATTTGTAATTTTGTGAGTTTCTTGGGAAAAACGCTACTTTTATAAAGCAGACCACATTTTAAAACCAGTTTTGCAATTTTTGTATTGCTTTAGCAAAAATTCTTAAAATTACAGTGCATTTCTTAATAAGACTATAAATTAATTAAAAGAAGCAAAAATATAGCATCAGCACTAATTTTTTGCCTTGCTTTGAGTTCAAATTTCAAGCTTTTTTTATCGTTTATTTAATTTTTATATCCAGTCTCTGCTCACTTTTTTGAATTTTCATTTTTTTTTATATAATTCAAATTTCTTCTTTCTTATGTTACAATTTTAATTACATTTTTTAAACTTTAAATTTTCCATTTTTTGAGCTTGAACTATAAACAAGTTTTTCAATTCTACAAGTCAGAATTAATTTTGTTGTCGATTTGTTTGATTTTGCAAATTTCCCAAAAATTCCCAGGGAAAAACAATTCTTACACAGGTGTGAAATTGTTCAAGCTATCACGTTTCAGTAAGGAATAATTTTATCTTAGTAAGTCTTTAAATCTATTGCAATGCTGGATTTAGACGAAGAATCAGTGGAGTCTACAAGGAGGGTGGTAATAAAGGTAGGTATTGGAGGTGGGTCAGTAATTAGACACTTTCCAACCATCATTGAGGTTAGAAATGTCAACATTACATGAACGGTTATGAATAAAACCCTTTTTTTATGAAAAACACAATTTATTAATTCATCGCCAGGCTTAAGTGATACTTGCACATCTCAATTGAGGTTCTTTGGGCCGTTTTGAGGTACGTCTCAAGGACGTTTGATAAGTGTTCGCATTCCCGGAGGAAAGGTTTTTCCGGGTCATTTGTGTTGATTAGTTTGAGTTGGTTGATAAGTGTTATGAAACCGCGAACGGGGAGACAGACGGCCGGTGTTGTGGGTTGCATGGCATGGGCGAAACCGTAATACTCCTTACCATAACCCATGGCCGCCATCATGTATTCGGAGGCGATTTCCGCCGCCTCCTCCAAACGACCGGAAGTGTAGAGCAACCGGAAAAGCTCGGCAGGGTTGCGCTTCTAAAACGGCGAAAAACGAAAATTTTACTTTCCGATTTACATCCTAGATAAGTTAGTTTACAGTGACATCCGTTTTCGGATATGAAAAATTTGCTCCCTAAATGTGTTTAGGGTGACATCAGTTCAAATATTTGTGATTGAAATCCGTATTCGGATATTTGAAAACCTATAAAGCTTCTGATTCGTAATTTATTAGGTAATCAGAAGCCCAGATCCAAATTTCGTCAAAATAAAATGTAAATCCTTGGATTCAGTTGCTAATTAAGATCAAAAAACAAAATTGTGGATACTCGAAAAAGCTGATCCGTATTCGGATCACATCCTCACATTACACGACGACAAAAATGTCAACAAAACAAAGTGATCTGAATACAAGTGACAGTTCTACCGTATTCGGATATTTGAAAATCTGTAAAAGCTTTTGATAGATATTTTTTTGGAATAAATAAGTAATAGAAGCGCAGATTCAAATTACTCAACAAAATAAAATGTAAATGCTTAGACTCAGTTCTGAATTAGGATTAAAAAAGAGTTCTGTTCCTATACCAGAAAAGTTTAATCCGTATTCAGATAAAATCATCACAACTACAAAAATTTCGACAAAATAAAATCTGAATTCTTGAATTTAGTTCCGAATTCCGATACAAAAAAATTGGACTTCCGAAAAGTCTGATCCGTATGTTGTACTATGAGAAAAACCTAACCTGACCTAATTCATTTGCTTAATTTATTCGGGCTTATTTTAGGTTTTAACAATCAGTTCTGAATTCAGATTAAAAAATAAAATTCTAATGCATATTTGGATCATATCCTGACTTTATACGACAAAAATTTCGACAAAATAAAATGTAAATCCTTAGATTTAGTTGCAGATTCGAATAAAAAAATGTGGACCCAAAAAGTCTAATCCGTATTCGGATCAAATCCCCACGACAAAGTAAATCTAAATTTAGTTCTAGATTCAGATAAAAAAAATTGGGGAGCCGAAAAGTCTGATCCGTTTTCGGATCAAATTCTCACATTATACGACGACAAAAATTTAGACAAAATAAAATGTAAATCCTTAATTCCGATTAAGAAATAAAGATTTTTAAACCTGAAAATTTTGATCCGTATTCGGATCAAGTCCTTACCTTGTACGACGACAAAAGCCATTGAGGTATCCACAAATTCATCTTAATAATCTGCCTACACACAATTTTATGGATAAGTGACATCTTCTCCTCCTCATATTCCTCCACGCACTCCTGCAAGAGACTCCAGGCGGCTTCTGAGGCACCCTTCGTACTCATAGGCAAATCTAAAACACTAAATTACCACCCAACCCTCAAAACCTCACCCCTTACCTTGCAAATTATTCTCAATCAACCATTTCCACGTCACCGGTTCGTTCTGCCTCGACAAAGACCCGCATTTTTTCGTCAGTGCCTCAAACACAATTCTATAGGGAACCTCAAAAATTTTGGAAATAGTCAACGCCGTCTTAAACAGACCAGCACTGGTCAACAAAATCACCAATTCGTGCGGATCTAAAATCACAAGTAAATACCTAAAAGTGCCTCACGGGTGCCTCACTTGTTATCTCGAAATAATTGCGAGGGTTGAAACGAATTAATTTGAGCTTCGCACTAGCGAATGCCAAGTCTTTGGACAATATTTCAAGATTGATGATGTTCACTTGTTTGCGCAGTGTGATTTCCTCAGGCTCCTGTCGAAAAAAAACAATGAGGCATGCCTCAGTACTATACAGAGTGCGCCAGAATTCGCGCCCCAGAGAAAAATGCCATGGAATTCTTTTTATAAAAATTTCGAAGTTATGAGAGTTTAAATTGTACACTTTGACTCTATTTATTTCTGTTGGAAAAATATTTTCCAAGTTTTTTTGCTATAGGTTATTAAAAGAGAAAACAAGGAAGCTGTATCCTAAATTGTTTAACGTTATTTGTGGCTTTTATTGGCAAATTTTTTTTATTTTTACTAAATAAATATAAAAAAACATACAGGGTGTCCCAGCGAGTTGAAAAAGTCCAGTAGTGACCTTTAAATGCTGAATTAAAAAAAAATGATAGATTGACATTGATAGATACTTATCTAGTCTATCTATATATAAAATTATTTTCAACTATACAGCGTGTCTCAAGAATAAGTTACAATACAAACTTGTGTTATTTTAAATGAAACACCAATGTTTCTTAGCGTTTTTGTATGTAGATTTTTATGACAATGTTTTTAAGCTAAACTTTTATTGGTCGATTTTGCTTAGTTTTAAAAATAAGACGGTTTTTTGGACAAAAACATGCACTTTTTAAAAATTTATTACACAAAAACTAAGACACATAGAAATATTTTTTTTACTACCGCAAAGAAGAAGGTACAGGCTATAAGGTTGTAACATTTTTTAGTGTGTTGCATTTGCAAAGATAAAAAAATTAAGGCGTTTGTTGAAAGTTCAATAACTTAAAAAAATTAAATGGAACACTCTACTTATTGTTTTTGCATTTAAATGATTATTAAATTGTTTTTCTAAAAGTATTTACTTTTAGGTGTTTATAATCAATAACTAAAAAAATATTTAACGTTAAACATTAAAAAAATAATTACTATTGTTTCAGTAGGCAAAAAGTGCACAAGAGATGAAAGAAATATCACTTAACAATCACATTTGTGTTAAACTGAATTCATTATTCTTTATTTTTACAATAAAATAATCCTAATTTCAGTATTTATAACGACTTTTACAATCTCTGGATAAATCAACGGATAAGTGATCCGTGGTGGAATTACTATGGTTGCCGTAGTATCAACAATGCTCAGATATTGATAACCATTGTTGCTACAATTAATATTGAATGTTAAATATCTTTTCATTTATCAATTCTAGACATTAAAAATTTATTTTTTTAGATAGACAATTTATCAATCTATTAGATGCAAAAATAAAAATAGGATGTTCCATTTAATTTTTTTAAGTTATTTAACTTTTAACAAACTTCTTAATTTATTAGTCATTACAAATGCAAACACAAAAAATTGCTACAGCGTTAATTTCTGTACTTTCTTTTTTGCAGAAGTAAGAAAAAAATTGTTCCAACTGTTTTAGTTTTTGTATAATAAATTTTTAAAAAGTGCATGTTTTCGTCAAAAAAAAAACGTCTTATTTCTAAAACTAGCGTAAAAACATTGTTTTAAAAAAACTGCATACTGTGTTTCATTCAAAAAAACACAAGTTTGTATCGTAACTTATTTTGGGGACATGCTGTATGGTTGAAAATAATTTTAGGTGATGCACTAGATTAGTATCTATCAATGTCCTATACATATATTTTTTTCTTAAATTTTACCATTTAAAGGTCACTAATGGACTTTTCAATTCGCTGGGACGCCCTGTATAAAAAATAATTAACTTTGTTCAAATGAGTAAACTGAGTTGGATAATTGATGTTAAAAATAAATGCAAAAGAATTTATTTCTGTTCATTTTTTTTTTCATTTCTTCTTAAAAAATTCTTTCTTGTTTTTTCTTTTTCTTTTTGAGAGACTGACAATGATTTCTTTCTTTACTTTAATTATTAAGTAACATCCGAATTTATTTTTATTTAAATTTTATTTTGTTTATAATAATAATTTTTATTTTTATGTTATAATTGTTTTTTTTTCTATCAATTTTCTTTTGAGATCAAGTTGAGCTAGACTTCGCCTCCGCATCTTTGTATTACTTTTAATTTATTAATAAAGACCTTTATTATTATTATTATTAATAGATATGGAAAATGTCAAATGTCAAAAAATAAATGTCAACATTTTTTGACAGATAGAATTTTTTAAACATTTTTGTTGGTATCTAATCTTACTTCAAATTTTTCTAGTTTTTCTCTGGGGCGCGAGTTCTGACCCATCCTGTATAGTGAGGCACTTACCTCATCAGAGGCGGCAAAAATGGGTAAACTGACAACTTTGTCCTCAATTTGGTCAACTGGCATTACAATATAAGCGTATTGAGGCTCGCACAAGGCCAACGCGTTTTTGGCCGCGAGAAAACACTTGACTTGCTTTTCCAACGAATCAGAATCGTTGTATTGGTTCAATCGGAAGGCTTGTTCGTACATCACCGACGCGGCTAGAATAATCAACCAATCAGAATCGAGTTGTGCCTATTTCAGCCAGTACCGGAACGCAGAAAAGTGGCCCCTCTTTTGACCTGATAAGCGTACAAAAAATCGTAGTAGATGTTGTTAGAGGGGTCGGCGGCGCGCGCCCTCGTCGAAACAATATCACAGAAGAGCTCCTCCATTCCGTTGTAGGTGAAACTCATCAAAACGTCCAATTTCTTCTCATCGAGTAATTTTTTAACTAAATCTCGGAGATTATCCTTGCGTCTGTCTGAATCCGGGTTGGCATTGAGCGAGTCATAGGCCATTTGATAGTTTTTCAGAACCAAATGGTGCTTGAATTTGATGGAATATAAAGTCGCCTGAAAGTAACACTAGTGGCGCCCTCTATAGCAAAAATGCCACACTTACGGCCAAAGGGTCGTCCGGTGAGGTCACACTGAGGGCAATATTGGCCAAATTAATCGCACAATCGTAGGATTTGTGCAATTCGAATAAATGAATCACTTTCAAGTAGTAATTAATGTAGGCTTTTGTTTGGTTGTGGTCGTGGGTGAAGATGCGTTGGGCCAGAAAGTGGTCGGTGAAGATGCCCTTCGCCGCCATTTGGAACAACTCCTGGGCCTTGTAGGTCTCCCCAGTGGTCAACAACGAAGCGGCGAGGAGAAAACTATCTATAATTAATTTATTAATTAATTAAATTAGCGGTGAATTAGTAATTACGTGTGCAACTGTTCCATTCGCACCACGTGCCTATGTAGCGAATGTACTGTTGGAGCCACAAGTGTTGGCCACAACTGAGAAGCCACTCGGCCAAAATCGGGCTGCCACTGATCGGCCAACTACACGCAAATTAAGGAATTAAAATTTAATTATCATTGTTTTTTAAGTTGGGTATACTGTACTAAAAAGAACAAAAAAAAATTAAAAAAATTAAAGCAAGTGACAATGTTTGTAATTTTTGTCAAGTAGGTCATGTATTCTCAATTTGACGTCTAAAATGTCAGTGGCTTTGGGTTTTTGTGATACATAAAAAAGAATTCAACCAATTTTGTCATTTTGTTTTTTTTTGTTATAATTTTTAATCTGAAATTTACAAAAAATTGCAAGTCAATGTAATTTTTGGTGTTAAAATACCTAATTCTGAGAATCTTTATGGTAGCGGAAGTCCAAAACTTGGCATTTGAAATTAAGCCTAGAATTTGACAAAAAAAAAAACAGTTTTGTACAATTTTTCAATTTTTGGGAGAAAAATTTAGCGAAAAAAGAGATAATTTTAATAAGATTGAAAAAATAGTCCAAACTTTGAATTTAAAAGTGATCACAGTTGGCTAAAAGCCAATATTTATTTGACATTAGAAACGTCAAAAATGTAAATTGTCATTGTAAAATATGGATAAAAAATTTGCCGAAAAAAAATAAAAACTGAGTCAAATTTTAACATTTGATATTAGTTTTTGTCAGAAATATTAATGAAATTAAAAAAAATATATATTCCGTAGCCTAAAATTTGTTACTTATTCTGACATTTTCGATCATAGTTAGCTGGGAAAACTACAAAATTTGGCATTTGAAATGTTAGTGACTGAGTTTTTGTAATACATGAAAAAGAATTCAAAAATTTTAGGCTAAAATAGTTTATTACTTCCAATTTTTTTGAGAAAACAACTTGGAAAATTATTTTTCCAACAAAATAAATAGTCAAAGTGCAAAATTTAAAATCCCACAATTTCAAAATTAATTTTTCTTATAAACATCGAAATTTAAAGAAAAATAAGATCTTGGTTAAAATTTGTTACTTAAAAGTACTAGTTTTACCATTTTTAATCATAGTTTGCTGAGAAAAGCCCAAAATTTGACATTTAAAATGTGATTTTTTGTGAAATATTGTGATTATAGAAAAAAGAATTGTACCTACTATTGTTCAATTTTTGGAAAAAAAAATTAATGAAAAAAAGGATAGTTTTTAATAAGATTGAAAAATTAGTCGAAATTTCGAATTTAAAAATGATCACAGTTGGCTAGAAGTCCGATATTTATTTGACATTAAAAACGTCAAAAATGTAAATTGTCATTGCGAAATATGGGAGAAAAAATAAAAACTGAGTCAAGTTTTGACATTAGTTTTTGTCAGAAATATTCACAAAATTAAAAAAATATATATTACGATGCCTAAAATTTGTCATTTATTCTGACATTTTCAATCGTAGTTAGCCGGAAAAACTGCATTTGAAATGTTAGTGGCTTTGAGTTTTTGTAATACATGAAAAAGAATTCTAAAATTTTAGGCAAAAATAATTTATTGCTTCCAATTTTGTAATTTTTTTTTAAAGAAAAACTTAGCAAAAAAGACGTTTTTTAATATAACTTTTGATAAAAAATTACAATTTCCAAAAAAAGTCCACGAGGTTTCCAGCTGTAATTAAATTTTCAAAATATCTAATTTTGAGAATCCTGTTTGTCTGGGAAATCCAAAATTTGGCTTTTGAAATGAATTTTTATCATAAATATGGACGAAATTTAAAGAAAAATAAAACCTTGGTTAAAATTTGTCATTTTAAAATACTAGCTTGCCATTTTTTGATCATAGTTAACTTTGAAAACTCCAGAATTAAAAATTTTAAATGTGAATTTTTGTGATACATGGAAAAAAAACAATTTTGTAGAAAAACTATTTACTTATTGTTTCTAGTTTTTCCGTTTTTGGGAGAAAAGCAATCATTTTTAATAGAAGTCCAATATTTATTTGACATTAAAAACGTTTAAATTGTAATTGCGAAATATGAATAAAAGAAATATAAAACAGAGTCAAATTTTGACATTTGAAATTAGTTTTTGTCATAAATGTCGACAAAATTATAAAAAAGTTATACGATGTTGACGACAATTTGTTATTTAGTTTGCCATTTTCGATCATAGAAAAAACTGCAAAATTGGACATTTAAAATGAAATTATTTTTTTAAGTTGGCTATACTTTCTGTGGAGACTGTCAATGTTTGTAATTTTTGTCAAGTGGGCCATGCATTCTTAATTTGGCAACACTGACTGTCAAATTCAAACGTCACAATTTTATAGTCAATTGTCATTCGCTGGCTTAGCCGTCACGTGAACATCCCAGTATAACAATACAGTGTTGCCAATACAATTTTTGACACAAATACTGACTGTCAATTCGAATGTCGCTCATTTTAATTATAAAAAAAAATAATTTATTCCTTGTATTTTGATGGAAAAAGGATACATGATGTGGAAGAGACAGTTGAGATACGGCAACAGCGCCAAATGCCAATTCGCGAGACTCTCCTCGTTGTGCCTCAGCCTCGCAAAAGCCTTACGTGCCTCATAGCCCCCTGTGCTCCCCGCAAAAAGCTCCAATAGCGAAATCGAACTAATCGCATTTGTTCTGAGATTAAAAACAGGACTTAATCTCAATGAAGACAGTCTCTGCAACGCTGACTCGCTAAAATCCCCAAATCAATCATTGGTTTTACGCTCAATTTATTTTCCTCACGTTGGTAAATACTGCAAAGCCGACAAACCCGCAAGCCAAACCATGACAAAGTTAGCTTGGGTCAAAACCACGATTTCTGGGCTACAAACCGATCTAATCGCCTCTAAAACATTCCAATCGAGTTCGAGCCGCTCGAGGAGTATATTAGTGATGAGTAAAAGACTACGACAGATGGTGAACCGGACGTGGATTTGCTGTCGGAGACATCCGGTGACCATTGATACGCCCAATTGTGAGGCAAAAATGTGGTTTAGCGAAGTTTGAACCTCGTCGAGGGGCTCTTCCGGCTGGATTTGGTACTCGATTCGCAGCAATTCGAGGATTTTGTGAATGGTTTGGTACAAATCGGTGCATTCCCGGAGCATCTCAGCCACGTAATCGGTGAACTGCAATGAGTCCTCTAGTGGAGATTTTTCTTACTAATACAGGGTTGGCAGATTTCGCATCCCAGAGAAAAATTTCAAGGAAGATAAGATACCAAAACATGGAAAAATGTTTAATAAAAAAATTCTATCTGTCAAAAAATTTTGACATTTGACATTAATGTAATTTATAATTTAATTATTTAGTAAAGGTACAAAAATTTTGTCAATAAAAGCCATAAATAACATTAAACATTGTTACAATTTAGCAAAAAAACTTGGAAAATTATTTTTCCATCAAAATAAACAGAGTCAAAGTACAAAATTTATAATCCCATAATTTCGAAATTTTTATGGATAGATTTTTTTTTAACAGAAATTAATTTTTCTCATAAACATCGACGAAATTTAGGGAGAAATAAGATCTTGGTTAAAATTTATTAAAAATAATTTCTTTCCAATTTTGTCATTTTTAAGAGAGATTTTTTTTACGTTTTTTGATGAAATTTTTAATAAAAACTTGCAATTTTGCAAACAAAAACAATTACAAGTCAATGAGATATTTAGCTCTAAAAAAATTATTACATAAAATATATACAATTTTGAGAATTTTGATCGTAGAGGAAGTCCAAAATTTGACATTTAAAATCTCAATGGCTTTAAGTTTTTATATTATTTAAATAAAAAAAATTGGACAAAAATAACTTGTTTCCAATTTTGTCACTTTTTAAGTGTGAAAAATGACGTGTTTTGGAATAATTTTTAATGACATGCAAATTAAAAAAAAACATTGCAAGTCAATTAAATTTTTAACTCTGAATAATTATTAAAAGATAATTTTGAGAAGTCCAAAATTTGTCAAATAATTTTTGGTATAAATATCGACGAAATTGAAACAAAAATCTTGGGTACAATTTGTCATTAAAATAAATACTAGTTTTCCCATTTTTGATCATAGTTAGCTGAGAGAAACCCAGAATTTGACATTTAAAATGTAAATTTTTGTGAAATATGATTTTTATCGTAGAAAAAAAAAACAATTTTGTACCATTTTTCAATTTTTGGGAGAAAAATTTAGTTTTTTTTAATAAGATTGAAAAATTAGTCGAAATTTCGAATTTAAAAATGATCACAATTGACATTAGAAACGTCAAAAATGTAAATTGTTGGATAAAAATGCAACTAAATTTGAAGAAAAAATAAAAACTGAGTCAAATTTTGACATTTGATATTCATTTTTGTCAGAAATATCGACAAAATTAAAAAAATACAATACGTTGTCTTAAATTCGTCACTTATTCTGACTTTTTTGATCGTAGTTGGCTGGGAAAACTGCAAAATTTTGTATTTGAAATGTTAGTGGCTTTGAGTTTTTGTAATACATGAAAAATAATTCAAAAATTTTAGGGTAAAATAATTTATTGCTTCCAATTATATCATTTCTTTTTAGAGAAAAACTCAGCAAAAAAGACATTTTTTAATATAACTTTTAATAAGGAATTGCAATTTTCAAAAAAAAAGTTCATGAGGTTTTTAGTTCTAATTAAATATTTAAGATATCTAATATTGAGATCTGGGAAATCTGGGAAGTCCAAAATTTGGCATTTGAAATTAATTTTATCATAAATATGGACGAAATTTAAAGAAAAATAAAACCTTAATTAAAATTTGTCATTTAAAAATACCAGCTTTGCCATTTTTTGATCATAGTTAACTTTGAAAACTCCAGAATTTAACATAAAATGTGAATTTTTGTGATACATGAAAAAAAAAAAGAATTTTGAACAAAAATTATTTATTGTTTCTAAGTTTTCCGTTTTTGGGAGAAAAGCGATAATTTTTAATAAGATTGAAAAATTAGTCCAAACTTAGAAACTTTTAATAAGGAAATGCAATTTTCAAAAAAAAAAGTCTAGGTGATTTTTAGCTCTTTTATTTGTCAAAAAATTTTGACATTTATTTTTTAACATTTGACATTTTTTACCTACTGATGATCTCGTAAATGTTTTTCATATTTATTTAGTAAAGGTGAAAAAATTTTGTCAATAAAAGCCACAAACAATTCCTTGTTTCCTCTTTTAATAGCCTGTAGCAAAAAAAAAATATTTTTCAAACAGAAATAGAGTCAAAGTGCAAAATTTAAATACTCAAAAGTTCGAAATTTTTATAGACAGTTTTTTTTTAACATTTTTTCTCTGGGGCACGAGTTCTAAAACACCCTGTATACCCACCTCAGTGTCCATCTCGCGCTGTATTTTCTCCAAAAGGGCCCCCATGACCACATCGGGCGACTTCAACAGTGCCAACTCTTTTTCGAAAGTGTATGCGAAAATGTCACTCATTTGCGAATCCAAATAATTAATGACCTTGAACAAGTTAATGACGTCATCAGTGATGTCAACATCTGCAAAAACCAATCATAACTAATTTCAATTAAATTTCATCCGAGTTAATTACTGTCAGTTAGAAGAAAATATTTCGTGAATTGCTCCTTGAACATGTGGTCGCTTTCGTAGATGAAATGTTCGAAAATGTCAAGAGGTCGCAGGAATGAAATCATCGATTTTTTCAAGAGGACGGCTCCGGAGGAGTTCGGGAGGACGAGGAGGCCTAAGGGCTTCAGTCCTGCGACGTGGTATTGGACACAGCAGGAATAAAACTGCTGCCAGCAGTAATTTCCGGTTTCGAGATAATCCTCGTCGCTGACGACCGTCTCCTTGAGCTCGTTTTGGATCTCGTCTTCGACGGCCATGCAGATTTGCTGCTTGAGTTGCGCGGCGGAGATGTTCACGTCGCCGACGATGGCCGAGCGTTTGTAAATCTAAAATTCGATCAAAAATCATGATCGGTTGTTAATCGGCGATTGAGCTGATGACAATAAGCGCACTCGGAACGTTAACCAAAAAAAATTAATTACGTTTAAAGCTTTGCTGATTATATGCAGGGGGAACCTCCCCGGGTGGAAAATATGCTGCAAGTAGCTTTGTCTCGGGTCTGTTTCTCCGTCGATATTCAAGGGTTGACTTGCATCTGGGACGGATTCCAGAACGACGGGAATCCAGTGACTCCCCGCCTGGTTCGAGGCCGAGTACACCTCACATTCACCCTCTTTTCCTCGCCAAACCGACCAAATCCGGCTCGTCGAGAGCGTAAAATCGATCAAATCCGTCTAAAAAAAAAGTAAATTTTAAAAAACACAATTAAAAAAAATACAAGGTGTCTCAAAATTAACGTCCGCGCTTCAGGGGGCTAATACAAATCGAAAATCAAGAGTAGAAAATTTTCCGATTGTCCTTCGTTTTCGAGATATAAGAAAAACTTCTTTTTTTTTTGTATATTATAAAAAAAATTATTTAGTGAAATGTCATTTTACACGACTTTTTAATTACTGAATGAGGCTCGAAAAATTGCTATTTTACGGAATCATATACAGGATGCGTCAGAACTCGCGCCCCAGACAACATGGAAAAAAATGTTAAGAAAATTCTATCTATAAAAATTTCAGTTATGAGAGTTTAATGTTATTTGTGGCTTTTATTGGCAAAATTTTTGTACCTTTACTAAATAATTATAAAACAAACAATTTTTTAAATATTTTTTCCATATTCCTGGTATCTTATCTTACTTGAAATTTTTGTCTAGGGCGCGAGTTCTGACACACCCTGTATGTCTTTTTCGAACACAATAATAAAATTAAAATAAAATGACTCTTTTATATTTTATATTTGCAAAAAAATAACTAGATTTTGAATTTTAGTATTTTTTTTTAATATCAAAACTGTCTGAGAAAATTATAATTTCTCAGAATTTTTATTAATATTTGAAGTTATTAACAATTTACTGAAATTGAGCTCGCTGCTTTGTTTAGCATCTTTCCACTTCAAAATCAAATGTAAAAAACATCTGGTGTATGAAGAGCATGAAAAAATTAAGAAAAATGTGTACTACTGATTCCAATTCCAAAAAAATTCCAGCGAAATTCTAATAATTCAAAAAAAAAAAAATTCAACTTAATTTTCGCAATTCCAAAATAATTCCTGTAATTTCAAATTAATTTCGAGTGTTAAGAAATTTAACGTAATTTTGAAAAGAAATATTATCTCTAGTGTTTTCTAAAAAATATAAAAAAATCAATAAAAATAAAGAAAAAAAAATAAAAATACAGGGTGTCTCAAAATTAACGCCCGCACTTTTGGGGTTTGCTTCAAGGGGCTAATACAAATCGAAAATTAAGAGTAGAAAAATTTCTGATTGTCTTTCGTTTTCGAGTTATTAGTAAAAAAAAAACTTTTTTTTGTACATTATAAAAAAATATTTAGTGAAATTTCATTTCACACGTTTTTTAAATAATGAATGAGACTCAAAAAATAGCTATTTTACGGACTCATATGTCTTTTATATGAACGCAATAATAATATAGTTATCTTAAAAATGACTCTTTTAGGTACCTACTATTTTTTATTTTTTTTGAAAAAATTATAATTTCTCAGAATTATTATTTGCAATTTTGCAAACAAAAACAATTAAGTCAATGACATTTTTAGATTTGAAAAATTATCACATAAAATACATAAAATTATAAGAATCTTCAGAGTAGAAGAAGTCCAAAATTTGGCAGTTTTAAAATGTCAATAACTTGTTTCCAATTTTGTCACGTTTTAAGAATTTTTAGCTCTGAATAATTATTAAAGTACCTAATTTTGAGAATTTTTATCCTAAGAGAAGTCCAAAATTTGGCATTTGAAACAATTTTTGGCATAAATATCGACGAAATTGGGGACAATTTGTCATTTAAAAATACTAGTTTTGCCATTTTTGATCTCAGTTAGCTGAGAAAAGTCCAAAATTTAACATTTAAAATGTTAATTTTTCTGATACATAAAAACAATTTTGAAAAAAAAATATGCTGCAATTTTTTTAGTATAAAAACTGTCTTTGAGAAAATTATAATTTCTCAGAATTTTTATTATTAGTTTGAAGTTAACAATTTACTGAAATTGAGCTCGCTGCTGTTTCCACTTCAAAATCAAATATAAAATATCTGGTGTATGAAGAGCATGAAAAAATTGAGAAAAATGTATACAACTAATTCCAATTTCAAAAAAATTCCACCAAAAATCAGGTAATTGAAAAAAAATTCAACTTAATTTTCGCAATTCCAAAATAAATCGTAATTTCAAATTAATTTCAATAGTTTTAAGAAATTTGACGTAATTTTGAAAAGAAATTATAATAATTTCTAAAAAAAACCCAGTAACCAGAAAAATTTCAATAATTCACAAATAATTCCAGTAATTCCAAACAATCCAATGATAATTTTAATAATTCCAAATAAATTCCAAACAATTTCCATTAAATTCGATTTAAGTAAAAAAAATGTTTGAAAACGGCACTAAGAACGCAAATTACAAAAAAAAAAAAAAATTCGTTAGGATGAGTGTTGTTAGTGTTAAACAAAAGAATACTTATTTGCGAAAAAAAATGTCAAATACAACTTTTTATCTACGATCTTTTTTAATAAAACATTTTCAACTTACAAAATTGACGGTTCTGATTTATGATAAGTCACTCGATGTCGTAGAGAATTTGTGTTAATCCCCAATTTTGAGCCACCCTGTATAAATACTTGCCCCTTAATCGGTTATAACCGGCACTAACCTGAGCCAAATCGAGCGTATTGAGCCGCACTAACCGGATCTGCGAGCCGCTGAGAATCGGTTTGAAGACATGTAACTGGCTCTGAGCCGCAAAACTCATGAAAATGCCCAAAAGACACTCTGAGTCGAACCCATCGACGGCCTTTCTCAGGATGTGATTCTGCGCGCCTTGGGGCTGGTTTCTGGCGTTTCCGCCCGTCTCAGCCATGACGTCGATCACTGATACGCATTCGGCTCTTGAGCACGACCAGAATTTCAAATGGCCGTTTCGACACAAGGTCAGAGCAAAAGTCTCAAGACCGAAGGTGTGCAAAATTAGACTGACGGTGGTGTCGCCGTCTTTGTCTTTTTGGCTGCAAAAAAATTGTGATTTCTTAGTGGTAACGTGGGGAGGGGTTGTACCGGAGTTTGTCGGCGAGGCCTGAGAGAAATCGGGGCACGATTGACTCGCTTTTCAGCTCAGCTGAGTCGATTTTGCCCTCGCGGGATTGGCGCACGAGCAGGATTTCCCCCGAATGGTAGGCTAAGACGAAAATTGCTTCCTCCTCGGCGAGGGTGAGGGAGGAGTCGGCCAAAAAGGGCAGTTGGGAACCTTGAATTTGACAAAATTGGCGTTTTTATATAATTTTGGAGGAAGTCCAAAATTTGAGGTTTAATCGTGTTGGCTGGGGAAGTCCAAAATATGACGTTTGAAATGTCAGTGGCTTCGAGTTTTTGTAACACACGAAAAAAAATCAAGAATAATTAATTCAAAGATTTTTTAAGTGAAAAACTTTTACGTTTTCTGGTGTAATTTTTAATAAAAACTTGCAATTTTGCAAACAAAAACAATTACAAGTCAACGAGATATTTAGCTCTGAAAAATTATTACATAAAACATAGAATTTTGAAATTTTTATCGTAGAGGAAGTCCAAAATTTGAAAATGTCAAAGTGACTAAGTTTTTATATTACCTAAATAAAAAAAAATTAGACAAAAATAACTTGTTTCCAATTTTGTCACTTTTTAAGAGAAAAATGACGTTTTTTTGGAATAATTTAATTAGATTTTTAACCCTGAATAATTATTAAAAGACCTAATTTTGAGAATTTTGATCCTATGAGAAGTCCACAATTTAGCATTTGAAATAATTTTTGGCATAAATATCGACGAAATTAAAACAAAAATAAAATCTTGGGGACAATTTGTCATTTAAAAATACTTGTTTTGAAAAAAAAAAATTTGTTTCTAATTCTCCCGTTTTCTGGAGAAAAATTTAGAAAAAAAAACTGTGATTTTTAAAAGAAATTGAAAAATTAGTCCAAACGTCAAATTTAAAAGTGATCACAGTTGGCCAATGTGTTTTTGACATTAGAAACGTCAAACTTGTAATTGCAAAATATGGATAAAAAAGTAACAAAATTTGAAGAAAAAATAAAAACTAAGTCAAAATTTGAAAATTCAACAAATTTTGGGCAAAAGTAATTTAATGTTTTCAATTTTGTTATTTTCAAGAGAAAAACTTGGCAAAAAAGGCATTTTTTGATATAACTTCTAATAAAAAATTGCAATTTTACAAAAAAACAATTGTAGGTCAATGAGATTTTTGGTCTATTTAAATTATTAAAATACATAACTTTGAGAATCTTGATCGATGAAAAGTCCAAAATTTGGCATCTTTTATAATTAATATTAATTTATCGACGAAATAAAAAACAATTTTCAATTTTTGGGAAAAATTTTTTAAAAAAAGCTATATTTTTTAAGAGAAATTAATCCAAACGTCGAATTTAAAAGTGATCACAGTTGGCTAGAAGTCCAATGTATTTTTGACATTAGAAACGTCAAACTTGTTATTGCAGAATATGGATAAAAATGTGACAAAATTTAAAGAAAAAATAACAACTAAGTCAAAATTAGAAAATTCAACGAATTTTGGGCAAAAATAATTTAATGTTTCCAATTTTTTAATAGAAAAAGTTATCAAAAAGGGCGTTTTATGGTATAACTTTTAATAAAAAATTGCAAAAAAAACAATAGTAGGTCAATAAGATTTTTAGGTCTAATTGAATTAATAAAATACATAATTTTGATGATCTTGTTCATAGAGAAGTCCAAAATTTGGCATTTTTGAAAATTCATTTATCACAAATATCGACAAAATAAAAAACAATTTTGTACAATTTTTCAATTTTTGGGAGAATAATCTAGTGAAAAAAGACGAAGTTTTTAATAAGAAATTGAAAACTTAGTGCAAACTTGAAATTTAAAAATGATCACAGTTGGTTAGAAGTCCAATATTTATTTTTAAGTTTTAATTTTTAGTTTTAAATTGTAATTGCAAAATATGGGTAAAAAGCAACAAAATTAGAAGACAAAAAATATGGGTAATTTGACATTTGAAGTTAGTTTTTGTAAAAGATCGATATAATCTTAAAAAATGTCGGCCAAAATTTATTATATATTCTGACATTTCCGATCATAGTTAGCTGGGAAAATTACAAAATTTGACATTTAAAATGTCAATGACATTAGCCTGAGTTTTTGTGATACGAAAGTAGAATATAACCAATTTTGACACAAAATAACTCATTGTTTCAATATTTCCCACTTTCTGAAAGAACAAATCAGTGAAAAATGCAAATTTTACTAAACTTTTGGAACAAATAAAAAGTTTTCAATTTTGAGTAATTTGAAAATTAATCAAAGATGGCTAAAAGTCCAATATTTGACATTTGAAAGTCAGTTTCACAAATCATCATTGCTAAGAAAGAATCTTTGCGTTGCTAAACCAAGTTTTTGGGTGAAAAACAACAAATTGTATTGTATTGTGGGTTGCATAACCGATATTTTTTATAAACTGTTAATAAAAATAAAGGTCGTAGAAAAAACATTGTGTCAACCACTCGCATAAAAACTTGCCTTTTCAACACAAATAATTATTCTGTGAAATATAAATAACATAGGGAAAACAAGCATTTTTGGGCCTACTTGAGTTGGTGAAAAAATGAAACGTGGCGGGATCCCTCGCTTCGTTGGTTGTGGCTTCGCTGAACACCGACGGGGCTGCCAAATCCGGGTGCACCCCAGCGACATGGTCCTGCCGGTGGTACTTATCCGGGTGCGGGAACACCAACCTATGGACACTGCAAACCGTCGGTACCAAAACCACAACATTGTCGTAAGTCTCATGGATCGAGACCCCATCCAGGATCGGCGTGTCCACAAACTTGTATCTGATGCGATTTCCGGCGAGGTTTATGTCGAGACTGTGCTCAACGAGCTCCAAAACATCGTGACTGATCCTCCTAAAAAACACACATTGTGGATTTATTCCCGACTTTTGGGCCCCTACCAGTAGATGAATCGATTCCTCGTGTGGGGCTTCGTCGAGTCGCGATAGCAAAACCCATTGGCCCTCTCCGCGACTTTGATATCCTGAAGAGTCCCTTGCGTCCCGCCTGTTACATAACCTCACTTTCACATAATTGGCGATTTTAGTGATATTACCTGTGTTGAGGGTGATTTCGCGCCAGGGGTCGGAGACGGTTTGGTCGGGGATCACCTCGCGGTACCCCAACGCGATTTCTTGCATTTCTTAGCCCGGTTTTGAGCGATTTTGTGCGAAAGTTAGGTTAGGTTGTCGGGCACAAAAAATCAAGGTCGGCGAGTGGCGGTTTGATTACATTTCAAACTGAGTTTAAGCTTGACACCAGAGGGCGCAGGAGTCAAAAAATACAAATTTCCGATTTATTTATTTATTTATCGCACAATTAGAAAGAAATTAACGTTTATAATACGTTTAGTAAAATTAACTTTTTTGATTTATAGTAGGTAAATTAGGACAAAAGTAATGAGAAATCGCATTCTTTGAGCACTTAGCATGTTTTTTAGCCAGAAACTTAATTTCGTCAAACTTTCTCAAAAAAGTCAAAAAATCAACAAATTAATTAAAAAACAGTTCTATTTGTTTTTTATACAATTTCAAATTAATATACATATTTTAAAATAATTTTTTTGTTAATCGAGTATTCATCCAAACGTTTAGTAAAATTAACTTTTTTGATTTATAGTAGGTAAATTAGGACAAAAGTAATGAGAAATCGCATTCTTTGAGCACTTAGCATGTTTTTTAGCCAGAAACTTAATTGTTTCGTCAAACTTTCTCAAAAAAGTCAAAAAATCAACAAATTAATTAAAAAACAGTTCTATTTGTTTTTTATACAATTTCACCCTAAGAGGTCAAAAAGTTACTAAATTGGGTCGAAAAGTACATTACTTTTTTCAAAGCGTTTTAGTTGAAAATTTTGCAAAATTTCTTAAAAAATAAAACAAAATATTTACCAAATTAGGCCTGAAATTGTGCTGTTGTGTGCATTTTTTGGTGTTTCTAAACAGATTTTTGAATTAATTCAATCTTTCTTCAAAAAATGTTGCTAAAACTGGCTAAAAATTTATCAAATTGGTATTATTTTAGGACATTTTATTTGCAAGATCTGGTCAAAATATGCTTAAAAATTACAAAAACCATTTCAAAATGATATTACTTCGTTGTTTTATTTAATTTAGCTTCTTTTTGAATAAAATTTTGCCAAAAAAATAAACCAAAAAAATAAAATTTGGTCAAAAATATTACTTTACATTTTTCAAGCCTTTGAGCACGTTTTTGAACTAAAATCTCAGTTTTTTGTGGAATTTTACTGAAACATACCAAAAAACACCAAATCAAGTAATTATTGCCTTTTTAATTTTTTAGTATGTTTCCAGGTAAAAACGTTAATATTTTCCAAAATTTTATTAAAAACAAGACAAAAAATTACACAATTAGCCCAAAAATAGTGTTATTTTTGCCTTTTTTGGACGTTTAAGCACGTAAATGTAAATTTAAGCCCGGTTTTGAGCGATTTTGTGCGAAAGTTAGGTTAACTTATCGGGCACAAAAAATCAAGGTTGGCGAATGGCAGTTTGATTAAATTTTAAACTGAGTTTAACACCAGAGGGCGCAGGGGTCAAAAAATACCAATTTTCAATTTATTTATTTATTTATCGTACAATTATAACAAAAATAACATGTATAATACGTAGAAGTAACACTGCAAAGATTACATAATCACTATGAGAATAATTTGGTTGAAATAAGTGCTGCTACGAGGAGTACAACGCTGTTGAAACCAGTGGTAATAGCAGAATTACAGGGTTTGCGAATTGCGTGGAAAAATCGGTTATTTAACGACTCAAATGCCGCAAAATCGGGACAACTACGTGCTATGGCTTCACTGAAACACTTCTTGGACGCTTTTAAGTCACTAAAATAAAAAAAATAAAAATAAAAAATTGAGTTGGTAATTATGGGGGCTCCTACAGGCACAGGTCGTCTTTCCGGACCTTGCCGTCAAAGCGTGCGAATAATTTAGTAAAGCAATTGCCCACTTGTTGCCCCTCTTGATTGAGTTTCAAATTTTGGCGACAATCTGCACCTTGGGTACTAAAGAAATCTGTAATTTTTTTTTGATTAAAAAATGGCAAAACAAATTATTTTCCTCACTTTCAATGGTTCTTTGGGAACAAACAAAGTCGAGGAATGAGGTAAAACTCTCAACCATGAATTTGGGTAAATATTTTTCGTCTTTTGGCAAACATGGTTTTACGTCATGGGCCAATTGGGTGGCTAGATGGGCAAGTTTGGGGCGTTCATCGTTACAGAATTGTTCTTTACCATTGGGCAATAAACTCGCAGCGTATGTTAGATAATCGCCAAATTGGCCCAAATGGGTTTTAATGTCGTCATAAGCCGAAGCGTCTGTGCTGTAAATTCGACATCTATCATAAATAAATCTGGAGATTTTGTCCGAATTATTGCCTTGCTGGTCTGCGAGAACACTCCCCAAAACAAGTCCTAAAAACACACATTTGTTATCTTGCATCCCTAACCTATCCACTAAATCGATTTGCGCAACTTTCGAGTGGGCTTGGGCCAAAACAAACAAGCCTATGTGTCAAATTTTCTAAGCCAACCTTGAGCCACTCACCTGCCACGATAAGAAAATTCCCAATTTTCATGACAAATCCTGAAATTTGACCTTCTCAATGTTCACTAAAATTAAATTCGACGAATTTGCAGACGCGAACACGTGACGCGACCTTCTATTTCTCTTCAAAATTTTACATTTCAGTTGAATAAAAAGAAATTGGGAAAAATCGCGGAACCCATTTTGTTAAAGCGGTGAATTGCGGGCTGCATATAATAAAATTTACGATTTGTCACCGATTAGTCACCGATCGATGGTTTTCCTTCAGGAAAATGTGCGCAGTTTTAGGGGAAATTCAGTGTTTTTATAAATGAAAAAGTTGCGAAATAATCGATAAGCGTAATGGGAAAAATGCGTGTTTATCGCAAGCAAACAAGAATAAAGGCATGGATTTTAGAGTCTGTTCCGATCATTTATAAAAAAAATAAGAAATTCAGACTTTCCTAAAATTCTTAAAAACTCATAAAAATAATCTATGAAAGGAAGAGGTTTTTTTAAATTACATCAATTTATTCAGATTAATTGTTTCTATTTTATTTAATTTTTCTTTTAAGTACTTATCTCATAGATTTTTTTCTTAATAAAAACAAAAATAACATTCTAAAAATTTCTTTTTTATAAAATGGTCGTGCGACTTTTTACATCTTGCCAGTGTTGTCAGGTCTGGTGAAATTTCACCATATTTGGTAATTTTTATGCTAAAAACTTTTGTAAAAATTCTTATCCTATTATGATTTTTTAGAAATATAATTGCAGTTACATCAAAAAATTAATATATTTTAAAATTATTTTTTTAATCACGTATTTGCTCAAACGTTTAGTAAAATTAACTATATTATTATTAATTATTATAATTATATAATTAATTATTAATTAACAATAATTAATAATTGTAAAAACAATTATTGAATTATTGTTATAGTTAATTAGGACAAAAATAATGACACAATTGTTTTGTATTTTTTGAGAATTTAGCATGTTTTTAACCAGAACCCTAATTGTTTTGTAAAATTTTTGCAAAAAAATAAGTCAAAAAATCACCAAATTAGTTGAGAAAACTGTTCTCTTTGGTTTTTTTTCGATTTTACTGTAAAAGATCAAAAAGTCACTAAACTGAGTAGAAAAGTACAATATTTTAGACTTTTTAGACAAATCGTTTTAGTGAAAAACAGAACAATTTTGCAAACTTTCTTTAAAAATAATAACAAAAATTTACCAAACTAGGCCCGAAATTGTATTATTTTTGTATTTTTAAAGTGTTTAAGCACATTTTTAAAATAAATGCGCTATTTTTTGAAAAAAAATTGCTAAAACTGCTTAAAAATTTAACAAATTAGGTTGAAATTAGTATTATTTTAGCTTGTTTTGCTCGATTAAGTTCGTTTTTAAATCATCAGGGACATTTAATTTGCAAGATTTTGTCAAAACATGCCAAAAAATTATAAAAATTATTTCAAAATGATGTTATTTCGTTTATTTTATTTGATTTAGGTCGTTTTCGAGTATAATTTTGTCAAAAAAAAAAAACAAAAAACAAAATTTGGTCACCTTTTTCAAGCTTTTAAGTAAATTTTTGAACTAAAATTTCAGTTTTTGTGGAATTCTACTAAAACAAAGCAAAAATCTTTTTTTGCAAGCTTTTAGCGTGTTTTGCAAAAAAAAACTTAAGAATTTCGCACAATTTTACTAAAAACAAGGCAAAAAACTACAGAATTAGAACAAAAATAGTGTTAATTTTGTTTTTTTTTGCGCGTTTAAGCACGTAAACGTAAACCTTCGACGATTTTAGAAAAATTTAAATAATTTTTTTTTGTAATCTTGTGAAAATAGCAAGTATAAATCTGTCAACTTTTTCAGCTCAGATCTGGTGAATTTAATTTTTTTATATCGGCTGACTATAAATGTTTGAAACAAGAAAAATTTATTGGCATAACTGAAATATTTTTAATTCTTCTAATTCGCTATATCAGGATATTTCAAGTGACCACTAAGCCTGACAATTTTCTATAAATTTTGACGTTTTAGGAACCAAGATTGCCAAACTAAATTCACAATCATTTATAGTCACCCGGTACTTTTAAAAACTTGCATTTCTAAATATTTTCTTTACATTGTCGAACAAAAAAGGTTAATTAATTTCAGAAATAAATTATTTTAACGATTTTTTATTGTTCTAAGTACAAAAATAGCACATATACAAAAATAAATAAAACAAGTTTAGTGTCTTACGTTCAATTAAATTTCTGATTAAAGTGACTAAAATTGTGGAAAAGTATTTTTTTTTAATAGGATTAATAAAAAAACAGGACAAAACCCTTGAAATATTTGTTTTTTAAAAATTACCTCAAAAATTAGACAAAGAACTATGAAATGAGTTGTGTGCTGAACAGTAGTTTGAAGGCATTGTTTAATTAATTAATTAACAAAATCGCAAATTAGACTCAAAACTGCTGCAATTGCCACCACAGCCCCACTCGCTTGAAGCCCCCATCCTGTGTTGCACTTCATTCCCAATGACCGGAACAAATTAGTCGCCAAAGCCTCAAAAGCCTTAAAATGTGGACATCCGTCATTTATCGCTTTGACAAAACATTCTTCACTCGATTTCAAATCCTGACACAACACTTCTTCGCTTAGAACTTTCCTGTGGAGCATTTTGTGCAATTCCTGCAAGCAATTTTCAATTTCATGCCCATCTCGGTACGTTTTCAGCGCATCTTGACAATCGCGTCCTTGCGGACTGAAAAAAACTGAAAAAACACTTTCAGGAGTAATAATTCCGACAAAAGCGGCTCACTTTCAATCGTGCGATTCCCACACACAAATTCCATAAAATGGGCGAATCCATAAGCCATAAAAAGGGGTAAATATCGCTCCTCGAGGTTGGAGAAACAGGACTTCATGTCGGTGGTGATTTCTTTCATTTTTCCACTCAGTTTATTTTTATTATCTGCGCAAAAATTCTGTTTGTCGTCCTTCAATTCGGTGTGAAACTCGTTGTAAGTGTCGTTGAGTCGTTTCCTGATTTCGTTTGAAATTTCAGAATCGGTGTTGTTCTTACACCTGCTGTAAATAAAATTCTCAATTTCGTGCTTGTATGATGAAAAACACGACACGTGTCGGAAAAACAGGCCTGAAATTGAAAAAAAACTGTGATAATTAATAAAATTGAGGATTCCTCACCGATCAATAGATAAATAAGATTCATCTCGACGCTGCGGAGCGAGTTTCAGTTTCAGCGGCGTCTGAAAGTCGCAAATTCGAGGGTGCGCACAAAATTATCAATAAAACACTTGTGTTTGTAAAATTGTAAGTGCATCGTATTTTTATTCTGGCTATCGGCCAAGTTTGAAAAGTGTTTATTTTGGTTCCGATCGATAATGTTGATGGTATCGGTGGTGGAGAGATAATAGAGTTGAGTGGGCGAGATTTTCAATTAATTGTAATTAAGTGTGAATTAATTAAATTTGGCCTTGTCACAGAAGTGTCTCAACTAGCTTTCTTAACAATAACAATTGACAGGTACTGAATTTACAAAAAATATTTAAAAAAATATGTTTCTGGTTAAAGTGACCAGGGACCAGAACAGTGTTGCCAACTTAAATTTCAAAAGCACAGATAGCTTAAACCGACCTTATTTTTTTAATTCAAAACCATCTTGTTTTGAGAAATAAAAATGTTAAAATAATATTTAACTATGCAGAATTTTGAAACTTAAATTTTTTTAAAGTTATTATTTTTAAAACAACCACAAATTGCTTTAGATTGCTATAAATAAAAAAAAAATGGATTATCAATAGAATACTGTAGCTTATTGTTTAAATAATTTTTTTATTTATAAACCAAGAATTAAACTTATTTGCTTTGCTTAAATAAAATAATTAATTAAGATGAAATGTCACGATTTTCAAGTGCTAAACGGATTCAAGTTATGACTGTGTTAAAGGTAACACTTTATAAAATGAATAACTTTAATTATTGAACTGTTAATTTATTTCAAAAACACATTACAATAAAAAGTGAACAAAAGTCGGTGAAATCTAGTTTATGTATAAGTCTAAAACAAAAATGAAAGAAAATAATTTAAAACACATAATATTGAAA